GCCAAAGCGTAAAAACCACCTCCAGCAACAGATTGCCATGTCTCTCCCGTTGGTAAAATCCTTCCCAAGTTGAACTTAAAACTGTACCGCAAAGGTTTCTTCTGTGGTGTTCAGGATGGGATGGAATTTGAAACAGACTCACAAAGCTGTTTCTTTATGTAGCCCTGGATGGCAGTTCTTGAAAAAAGGAGAACAATATAATATAAATGGTAAAAGCAATTATTTCAAGACCTGTAGGAATAGGCAACCAGATGAGAGCCAAAGACTTCCTTGTAGCATCAAATTTGTGCCTTTTTTCCCCACGTATTTTCAGTTGTACTTTGTAGTTCCAGGTAAGACAAACCTTCCAAATATAATTACTACTGTGTAGAGTAACAGGAATTGGGGGGGGGGTTCTTTCAGCTGGAAAATACAGTTCAGGTGAGGAAGCATTGCTCTAGTTCAGTTGTGACAGATTAACAAAAGAGAAAAAAACCCAGTGGGCTAAACCACACTTCTCCTGAAACCTAGGGATAAAATCTTATCTTCACTTCCATGGGACTAAGACTGCCCCCCTGCCCCACCAAATCCATACACCCAACATGAGTTTAAATTACACCACCAGCATTATTGCTGTGTGCGCCAGCTAGGGGTGGATTCCCTATTTTCACAGCAGGTGGTTATAGCAAATAAATGAATGGTGGGTCCAAATCTAAGGCCCAGTCTACACTTCAAACTAGATATGTTTGGGATGGGGCAGGGAGGGTAAAGTTTGATGAGGTGTGAGTTGACAGGCATAGCTCATAGCTGTGCCAGCAAAAGCCTTGAGTCTCCAAATTTTTCCCCATCAGATTTATTTTGCTTAGATAGTGGTGGGCTGGCATCAGTGATAGTGACAAAAGCACAGTTTTGCTGCCACAACCAGCACCCCAGGAGTGCCCCATTGGTGCAATATACCAACATGGCTCTACTAGCAGCACCTTCCAAATGCAGATCTGGCATAAGGCTATCTTACCCATCACCCTTTCTGCAGCTGGTCCTGCCATAGGGAAGGGGAGAGGCAAAAGGCAGAGTAGGCAAGAAAAATGGGCATTAAATTGTACCTGCAGGTTGGAGACTACAAATCCCTATTCTTAAAGCTTAAAACATCCACATCAAACAGCTTTAGAGGTGAATATTACTCTCTCAGTGGTAATCTGTTCTCTGTTAGCTTTGAATCCTGCAAATCTATGAGGGGCAATAGTTGTTATTCAGGAAACGAGCCATTAAAGCCATCAAGTCCCACAAAGGATTACACCGAGAAGCAATCTCCAGAATAGGAATCTCAAGTGAAGAATGACTGCTTTCTTCCATGGTAGATTCCTATTCTGGATATTGCCCACAAGTACCTGCTCTTACCTCCTCCCTCATGTCTTCAAGAAAGCAGAATCAGACTTTAAAAAAATCACTCCAACTCAGTTCCATTAATTTTCTTCTTTTCCTCCAAAAGGCCAGCTTCAGACAACATTTACCACTGGGAGAGCAGTACTAGAATACGATGCCTACATCTGGTGTCTACATTTTGGAAAGTACATTGAAAAACCTGAAGAGGGTGCAAAAAAGAGCTACAAAATGTATTCAAGGGCTGGAGAAAATACTTCAGGGTGTGGGAGACTTTAATAGCTCGGTTACGATTAGCTTATCAGAGAGAAGATTGAGACATGACTTGATTAGTGTCTAAGTACCTTCCTAGGGAGAATATATGAGATATTAAAGGGTTCTGTAATCTAACTGAGAAAGGCAAAACACGAAGCAAGAAACTGAAATCTGTCAAATACCCCTAAAACACAGAAGCAAATCTTGAGCAGAGAGAGAGCAATTCGCTGCTGGCACAAACAACTAAGGGTATTTATACACGTGGTCCAGGGTGGGGAAGGGGGGGCACTTTAATTAGAGCAGAGCAGCTCTAATAAAGCACCTGGAGCATTTTGTGTCAGCATCCTTGCACTGAAAAATGCTGGTGGAGGCACTTTACCTGAAGCTGGAATAAGCTTTAGTTAAAGGACCCCCACCACCATTTTTCAGCACAGGGACACTAATACATAAGATGCTGGAGTCTGCTGGAGTGCGGTAATTACCGTGCGTAATTACCACGATTGAGTCTGCACCAATGCTCTGTAATTTCAGTGTATCAGAGCAGCCTCACTGCATGTGTATAGGAGCCCCAAGAAAAGTAGCAGGATCTCTACCTCTTGGTGTCTTTGTGGGAGAGGTGTCAAGCACAAGTTACTGGAGTCCATAGGGGGTAGCAAGGTGAAAGGGAAGTGGGCAGTCATATGCAGGAAGTCAGACTAGCTGCTCTAATGGCCTTGAACTGTTTTTTCAGTGAAAGAGAAGAAAATCGTATTTTCAGTTAGTTTCACTTGGCCTTAAGCAACATTTGTATCTCAGGGGTGGTTTCATCATCTCTCCTGTCCAGGTGGCTGAGGTTCTCCTACCTTAAGAGGGGGCAGGGGGGGAGGGGTGGAAGAAAAAGCAGATTTTTTTAAAGCAAGCAATGAGACTATAAAAGTGACGGCAGGACACAGAAGAAACTGAAATCCGCTCTCTCTCTCTCTCTCTCTCTCTCTCTCTGGTTTTTGTTTTGTTTTTTTGCAGTCTAGATTTCAAGTTAACTCTGTCTCTTTAGAAAAAAGCTACTTTAAAAATTGTGGGTTTGTTTTGTCGTCTTTTTTCAAGGGTTATTAAACCCGCTGTTGCAAGGAAGGGCACAGAGGTAGCTCTGCCCCTTCCCAACCTCTCTTGCAAACCAGGTCTGCCTGGGCTAATGGTGCCAGCACAGCTCTGTAAGCATGACACAGCACTCCTGCCTCCTTTGGCTGCAGGCACAGACAGGCTTGTCAGAGCTGCCTGCACGCAGCCAAGGCGCAGAGGGGCAGCCACAGTATCCAGCCTATTCAGGGCGGGGTTTTAATGTAAACCTACCTCTGTGATCATAGTGGTGGGCCCTCACTTTGCAGCTGGGGATGGCAGGGGGAGAAGGCTGCTGTGCAAAGCAGGGTGCCTTTGATTGCCAGGAACTTGCACAGTGAGATCACTGAGCTGGTCCCCTCCCTGCTCTTAAAGGAGCAGCTTAAGAGAGAGCCTTGTTAGCCTGAAGGCATTCTCAAGCATGGTGCCCTAGGGTGCCTTGAGCTCCTTACAAGGGTGCTGCAGGGTTCCCAGGCAGTATTATCTCTGTGTAGCTTGCAAACATGATTCACAAGATAAACCCAGTGATTTCCCATAGGAATTCATCATTGGGGTCTGGCTGAGTTCTTTGCAGCAGGAAAACTACTCTATTACTTTTCTGTAGTCACAAAAATGGAGAAAGAAAATACTCAGAACATTGGAACATTCAGACAAACCTAGATCTTGCCTGGTGGAAGGACGACTCCATTAAAATGCCAATAAGAAAAGTACTTGACAAGTTTTCATTATCTCAGCATAGACCCTCGCTTATCAGCATGGACAATATGATTTTTCAGCCCACACCATCCAAACCAACTCCAAGATGGAAGGGTCAGAAGGCGGCTTGGCAGAAGTACCAAAGCCTGACCAACAAGACAGCAAACCAATTAGAGGATCCATCAGAAACCAACATTGATCAAGGCTACACTACATTTACAAGCTGCCTTATTGAAATACCCAAACTCTGTGTACCTAGAGGCTATAAAAGTCATTATATGCCATGATGAGATGAGCATTATGAACAGCTCTTTAACATCATCAAGCAATGCAATGGCCCTGCAACTGTAAAAGGAACTATAGAGCAGTTGGCTACCACATTGAACAACATCAAAAAGGAGAGATGGCTGTTACCATAGAAGAAGTGCATATTACCCATCCAAGCAGACAAGCTCAGTGCATTGTTAACCATCTTAGGGGCAAAGGCACCAAAAAGAACATTGCCTTGTGTCAGCAAACTACATCATGTGCAACAACAGCAAGTACAGTAACCCCAGCAAGCAATATGCAGAAATAATTAGACATATGACCCGTGAACAACTTAAATCACCCAACATTGACCTTAATCTAACCCCCCTCATCTCTGACAATGAGTTTGACATAGTTGTTAAAGCGATTAAGACTGTCAAGACTGCTGACCACATAAGATATTCCCAGAATTCATTACCAAGCTTGGAACCACAATGAAAATATGGCTTCACAAATTCATGTATAAATGTCTAAAAAGTAACAGACTGCCAAAGCTGGTGTCATTGCTATCCTGAAACCCAATAAACCACCAGAGGATCCAAAGAGCTAACGACCCATCTCAGTCTGTATTACATATGTGGCAGTGCACCTTTGGGTGCTTGCCACTTTAAGAGCCTGAACATGCTGCAAGGCAGCCTGCAGGTGACTGCAGAGCCAATCAGGTGGTCACATGACAGCTAGCAGGTTGCCTGATTGGAGCAGGGCTGCTGAGCCTCAGCATAAGAGCAGGCCCTGAGGGGCAGAGCCAGCAGTTCTTGTTAGGATGCTGCTGGGATAACATCACCAGCTTGAGATGGGTTGCTCCTAGGTACACCTGGAGATTCAGGGTAGGAACTATGGGGGAGAAGGAGGTTCCTAGGGACCCAGAGGAGTCCCAAGCCCTAGGGAGAAGGCTTTGGGCCTAGGGAGAGCAAGGCCCAGCCTAGGAAGGGGCTTATAGCTTGTGGGCCTATGCAGGGGCTAGGCAAGCCCCTGATTAGAACTAGCAGGGGGAGGCCAGGGGCTCAGGTGAGCCTGGTGGAGTGAAGGGCAGCCTTGTACAGCATCTCTGGGGCTTTAGACAAGCCCAGAAAGAGATGGCTGGTTATAGTGGGGCCCAGAGGAGGACCCCTGTGGAGTAAGAGGGTCAGCTGTTGTTGCACTAAGGCCAGGGTATCCTG